AAAAGGATGTTTTGCATGTGTCTGTTTTGTCTCGTGCACAGCCTAATGCCAAAGTGTAAATGATACTCATATTTTGACAACACAGTTCTTCATTCATAAAAGTCATGATCTGGGCCACCTTAGATCTGACTAAAACATGCAAGGAACTCATAATAAAGCCACAGAGGGACAAATCTAATGCTTAATGCAGAAAAGGTAACCAAAAAAAATAATACAAAAATTGGTCTCAATATCAAATAGCACAAGATAATACAAGTATACTATTACACTTATTAAACCTAACTCCATGCTGTCAGTGAAGAGATCATAGTTATGTTCCTGAAACTCTAACTTCAACATGGCTGTAGGTCTACTGAGGTGATGTTTGACACCAACAACCATCATTCAGCTTCAAATATCAATGAAAATAGGAGAGGGAAAATTACCAAAAAAAAAATCTTGATTACCCGGTTTGTCACATCATGTGGGCATGTTCACAAGCACAATTTTGAAACAGACTGAAATAGACTGATTGACCTCACCTAGTGAACCAATTATACACAGGGAGTGGAATATATATATAGGCGTCTGAGGACACAAATTAGTCTGCTTCCATTCCAATTAAACAAGGTTGTGAACAGTTTTCTCATATGGATGAAATACATGTGAAGTGATGCAGGTCTTCCCTCCTGCAAAGCTGTCTTAGGTCAGTGACACAGCATCTTCTAAGGGCAAAGCAATGTGTGGTGTCTACATTTATTATCAGTCCTGCATCCAGCTCGTTATTGTTTGACATTAGACCCTGTGCACAATGTAACTGACACAATTTATGTTTGAACTACATATCACCATGTTGACTTCAAAAAATAATTCCAAAACCTTTTGAATTAAAACTTTGGTTAAAACTAGGTTTAGGAAAATACATATGGCCTAATAGGCGGCTTTGATATTTTTTCCCCTTACATCTTAAACTTTTATGTCTGAATTGTGAACCACACATGACAAACTACATTTGAATATGCCAAGTGATTCGTGAGACAGCATAAAAAGTTTAAAAAATCCATTCAGAACCACGTCAGAACATGATACAAGCAGGTTAAAAAAAAGATTAACACAAGAATCAGTTAGCCACAAATCCGGTTAAATTGAAAAAATACTATTTGCAGTTGTATACCAGACAATACTAGTATTCTTAAAATCAACTGATCTCAATACTTGACTTTCTCTACAAGAAGAAAGGTTGGTTCAAAGCAAAAGTAAGTGGAATCCATATAATACACTGAACCTTATGTACAAGATATATATTCTATCAAGCCATCCCTGTTATTTTATATACTGTTCTAATACAAGATCATGAAACCAATAAGACCTCTTTCTCATAGACTCCATCTGTCTACAAAGATTGATCAAACTCTGCAGGGACTTGTTGAATACCATCAGCTTTACTGAATTCTACGTAAAGCTAGGAGGCCGTGTGTCATTCAGTCACCTAATTGCACTCAGTGAGAATCCCTACAGAGTTGGATCAATCTATGTAGACCAATGGTGTCTATGGGAATGGGGCCTAACATCTGTAGTCTACACACAAGTGTGACTTATGTCGCATTCACAACAGATTATCCTTGGATCTACTGGTCCGAGGATCAAACATGGCATACCCTATATGAAAGCAAGACCACCTAATCTCTTAATGGGCTCCCCGCCTCCACACACACCTTCCCTGCAGGAGCCAAGCAATCAAACCTCAAAGCCAAAATTTAATCTATGTGGAGGCAGGGAGACCATCCGAGAATCATCTAATCTGAATGCAACCATATTGGGAGAAAATGCATCTATAGGTTCATCTAATACCACCAATGAATGCACTGTACTGGTAAGAATGCTCTAACACTGCATCATTATTACTACTGCACAGGCAAACAGGTAGAAATATACAAATATTCCTTAGCTACCAGTGTACAGGCTCACACTTAAGAGTAGCATGGTAATTACTACTAATTGATAAAGATAATTTACTGTGGCTAAGAATATTCCTTTATTAGATTTTCTTGAAATAGCCCCACCCCCAACCCCCACCCCCAACATGCTCTTACAACAGAGACCAAGTTTTCTGCCACAGAGCAGTCCTACTTGCTGCTGACATAAAAAAAGTTCTCTCCTCCTAAAGAACCTCCAGCATTTAAACTTTTCTTAATGTTCATTTTCTTCTTTTTTTTTTCAAAGAACAAGCACAGAGTTTCTTGCCATGTAGCACTGCTGCATGGCTGACTTGGTGTTAAGTATTTGACCACTTGTACTCTCTGCTCCACTGCTTCATTGCCCCTAGCTGTGCCAAGTGAACACCGATTCTTCACTACAACACATATTGTATGACACAACATAGTGAGTGTGGGGAAAATCAGGAAATAACAACACACATTCCGCAACTTCAGAAGTCAGATATAAATCAGGGCAAAGTACACTTACATTATATCTTTAAAACATGTCACCTCTTTGAAAAGTTATTTGAAGTAGAACTATACAATAGGATGTTTTGGTTCATGCAAACATGGTCTCTTTTTATGTGAAAATGCATATTCATGCACACCAACTTGCATATCATCAACATTATAATGTTATTTGAGGGTCGTTAACATATCTAATGGGGGAGGGGGATTGTAAAACAGGGAAAACACTATGGAAAACTAAAAGCCTGAAAAGGCAATGTTATATTATAGAGAATGCAGGTGTATCATTTGGAGAAAATTTGAAAATAACATATAAAATATTGCCATCAAAATTTCTTTTATTTAAAAACAATGTTCAACCAAATTGGAAGGTTGGAAATGTTTTTTCTCTCTAATAGTATCCTCTCTCAATATCTTTCTATTAGTTTTAAAATTGAAAATACCTGTACCCATTTCAAAGTCAAAATGTGTTATCTTTTACATCACAACTATAATAATATTATAAAACATAATTGCAGAGAAAAAAAAAGAGACATATGTTGTAACAGAGGATTAATTATTTTCAGCCACGCCCACTTTTTACAGGAATAACACGTTTTTGAAGAAAGGACAAAACAACAATCATTTGCTAAGGAAAATGGTATTTTCTTTATTGGATGAGGGAACAACTGTTCTTAAAACCACAAATGCTGTTTCTACAAAGAATTTGATTTTCTAAGAATTTACACTTCATGTGCTATTATCCTTGGAAGCTTTAGGGGATAAGCTCATTCATGGAACTGTCATTGTCTTATATATTCCAATTTTCTTTTAAGCTGGCCTGTGACATAGCCCAAAAGCACACTGTATCCTTTGTAAGTAATGGAATTCTTGCTCTTGTTCAATAATTACTCTTTTAAAAGAAGGCAAATTGCAAGAAATCCACATCACAGGTCACCTGCCAAGAACAGAAATAACTGGTCTTAAAAATACTATTTTTGTGAAAATACTAATAAATAATAAGACTTTCTTTTAATTTGAAACTCTTACAAATGATGGTCAGTGAGTGCAAGAAAATATTGAGGGCATTAAGAAAATGCAGTGTTTTTTATCTTACAAAAAAACTGCTTAGTGGAGTATATTCCCATTTTCAATTTCCTTTTGGGTTATTCTGCATAAAAGCACTGACACAAAGATTTAATCATCTAATTTCGGTATTGAATTATATCAAATGGTCACCTTAGAGGGAACTGAAAATCATGAACATCAAATCTATTAGAGTTCAAAATGGATTTTGGACAATTCATCTTCATTTCACTTGAGGGTCAAAGGCTAAATTCACCTGTTGTGTTGTACAGGTGAAAATGTTGCTTTATGTCTCTGTAATAACAGACATGTTATAAGAGTAATGTGACACAGGAAATGTACAACAATATAGAATATCTGTAAGGGAAATACTGCAACTTTCAACTGCATTATAGCTTGTGTCTTGTCCAAGGTACTGCATGGCATGGAGTATGCTTCAATTTGGTATTACAGGTGTTCATTTGTTTTGTTTGTTTGATATTGACACGAAATCAAATTGATTGCAAGTATGTGAAGTTACCAAAGCCTTTGGTCTCACTTTCTCACATACAAAAGGTGCTCTCTTTCTCCCTCATTTGTAAGGTATGTCTGAACCTCTTACAGGTGTTCCAAGGTGGTTTGGTTGCTGGTTCCTCCCAGAGCCCCACTTCAAAGAGAGCTCAGGTGTTTCAATGTAGTGGCAATGACGCAAAGTTACTTTCAGGTATCAAAGGTCAATTAGCTCTTCAGACCAGCAGAAACAAGACCCACATTTTCTCATGGAATGCTACGGACCAGCTGTATTTATATTTCCCAACAATCAATACATGGGCTGCTCAAAAGCATTAAAAGGTGGTGAAAATGCAACATAGGGAGGGCTAACTTCTAAACTGTTGTTGCCTCCAAACCACAAGCTCAGGTGCGCAAAGTTAAGTATTGTCATTTTCGCATCATATTACATGTCTAAGGAATCAACAACACGTGCACTGCAATACAATGACCATGCAGTGGCATGTGCAAATGCCCAAATCACATCATTTCTCCAACACAAGCACTTGTCAGTCTTGCCCTATTGGTAAGTTAAGTTGTATTAACTTACTTTTCATTATCCATCATGACCCAGGGCTGTTTGTAAGCCACACAAATAAAGCCTTGATAGAATTCATAACCCGAATGTATTATGACAATACAGTGGAGTAAACTGTCCTTGCAACAAGAGACTTAACAGTATCACTTGGAGCCATGTTACCTTTTCACAAGCAGCCTCGGCAAACAAAAATGACAAATTGGCTGTAACAAATATGGGGGCTTGGAACAATTATGTCTACCATATTTAATATGATGAACAAATCAAATCATTCAGAACCAACAGACTTTTGGCAATATAATTGTTCTAATTAAATAGAGGTTGATGTCATGCACAAGGGACTGTGGGAAAATGTGTGGACGGTGACAGGATCTAGTTCAAACTGTGTTCAAAATCAGGATATTGTAATAGGGCAGGTGAAAAGAGGGTCACCAACCTCTTACCTCCTGTAACAGCTTCCATAAAAACCAGTTTTTCACAATCTGCATCAAAATAAAAAAGAAGAGTGAAAAATCAATTAATATAATTATACATAAATATGACATAATCATATAATCGTAACCGATTCCCCTTGGTTCATTTCTCCTGAAATCCAGATCACTCTCAATAATTATTTTGGTGCTACACTATTGACAGAGAAGTTGAATATCTCAATATCAAACATCACAACCTTTTGCAAAATCTGCTAAGTCCCCACTAATTGTCCAAATAATTAGATGCCTAGCGAGTCCTGATGAGATTATGCATGCCTCATCTCATCCAATCAGCTTAGAGCATTCAGGGAAACAATACGTGACTGGCTAAGCCACAAAGTTAGGACTTGACTTAAAGGCTTCAAAAGTGCCTTACGACTTATTTTTCCGACGGATTCCTGCCATTTCTCACATATTTGTACTAATTTGTCAACCGAATGCCATAATTAGATTTTTAAACAGTAAAAATGGTAAATAAATGCCTCTGAGTCACAAGGCTTTGTCCTGACAATCAGAATTAAAACACAGGTAGAAAGACAGGTTAAAGGTTTGAATTTCTGAAATATTTCTTTAATTACCTTGCTGGCTTGACATATTGGTAATCAAACTGTAAAATTCTGTTGTGTGAATATCATGGGAAAGTTTAACCACAACTATGCATCAGTGGAAAGTTCGACTATTTATTTACTTTTGGACCTTTTTGGAAGTGGTGTGTTTACCCAGAGTTTGCTAACTCTGTTACTGCAGTGTAGAACTAGGTTCCACACAATGGCGTGGGCACAATGACACCAATACAAACGTACTGCACGCCTCCCTTTGATCTCAAATTCCCAAACAAGTATCATTGTGAGTCCCTTCAGCTCAGCTGGGAGAAATTGAGTTGTCAGTTAGAGGTGGAATAGGTGAAGTCGGGTTGGTGTTGTCTGATATGTGATTGCCAGTGCAACAGCACATACTGGGGCCCAGGGTTCTTTCCGTACCCCAGATAATAATAGCGGGTTATACTTTCCCTCCCCTCCCCGACCTCCCAGAAGTATACTGTGTAACCGAGAGGTAATTGGCACCACTAATCCTTCACAAAGCGCTCTGTGCCGACAGCTCAGCTCTTGCTCAGATGTCACTAATTGTGCCAGATTAGATGGTTGAACACATCTCAATAGAAGCCTACAACAAGTCTTCAGCGAGAAGACAGGTTTATAACAAGTTTTATTGTCCCCAATCAGCTGAGAAAATTGCAGCAAAACAACACCACAGGTAACATGAGACACTGTCCGCCATCCGCCAAAGCAAGCAAGGTACCTTTGCGCCAACTCCCCGTTGTGCGCTCAGCAGGAATGATCTGTGCAATTCATTTCTGCCTCGATGTGTGAAATACAGTCTAGCTTTAGGAAGGTATTAGTCAATTCAGAAGGTTAGAGACCAGGTTTCCCAACAAAATCTTCAATCATTTCTAGAAGGGTGCACTTGAGAGAACAATGGCCAGAATAAGTTCTCCACCTGACTCCCACCCAAAGGTCATGGATAAATCCAGACCAAATTATCCCACTGTTGCTCTCACATCTTTGTCTCAGCACTTAACCCCCAGACTCATTTAGTAATGGCACACAAGTGGAGAGTTGTAAGGTTATAAACTGGGCACAAAAACTACATGATCATTACAATTGTGCCAACAACCTATTATCCCGTCTGCTTAACAAATACTGAGCTAATATTTGGGTTTCCCATATAGATACACCCAGAGAAATTGTACCAAGGTGCCAAGCCACAGATAAGCCTCCTAGTGCAGACTGGTGTAGCCCAGGAAGACTGTACAGCTTTGTATGCCCTCTCCTCTATAATGCCCATGCTCCTATATTTGCAATGGATAAGTCCCAAGTTTAGGAATCAAAGGTGAAGAATGACCGACAAAATAGGAGGTGGATGTTGCTTGACACATCTCCACACTGTTTGAAAGTTAACCCCCAAAATCGGCTCTGTCTGAATAGAAAGAAGAGAAAGGAGCGTACAAATATTTACTGGGGCTTAACTACAAGGGGCCTATACTTGAATCTGCTAATCCACGCAAGAACGTAACGTAGCTCATTAGAAGATAGCGGCACATCAAAAGTAGACCCAAGACAAACATCCACACAATAGAACAGACTAGGGGATTGGATAATTCCACTTTTAACGCCCAATAATAAAGGCAGTCCTGCAGTAATTAAGGGCCCACCAACAAAATGAATTCTCTTAACTCCCAGATCAATGGTTTTCATACTTATGAATCTCAGGAGTCCGGGAGGTAATCACGCATTTTAACACCTCTGGCGTGGAGACAGTATTCTTTATCTATTTTAATTGGAATTTTGAATTGACTGTGCAAGTTCTTTTGTGAATAGCTTGACAGTAAGTCTAGTCAAACAACAACACAATCTTATTCTTATTAAAATTCAGAATATTGGATATAATCAAATTTATTAACCATGAAAGAATATGCTTGAATTCAGCTTTGTCACTTTCAAGGTAATGCACCTGAGATATTAGGATGATTTTTTTCTCTTAAACATGCTTTAAAACATTTCCTTATCCCCAGAGAAAAATGATCTTATTAACGAAATGTTGAAGAGGAAGACTGAATGTCACACTGAGAATTAAAAACCCATCAACACCCAATTCCTCAAATAAAATGTAGAAGTACATCCACACACAGATCAAAAAGCCATCCAAGACCCATTTTGTATTATTCACTTGCAATCAGACGGGGAAACCCAAGCTGACACTTCATGACAAGGAGAGATGGTTTAATCTACAATAATGTACATTTAAGTTACAAATATATCCTTTTTCCCCTTTTAGTGGTATTCTCTGTTACTCATGCCCCTAATTAGGTTCCAAATACAACAAGTGAGTGAACTACCAAATGAATGTGAATTACTGCAATCTGGACCACCCCACCCTACCATATACTGAATTATGAATACTTCTTAATAGGGCCAGTCATCACATAATTTGTACAGTTGCTCCTAATTTTCTCTAATCACTTTTTCAGCAATTCCTTGTTTAGATACTGAACACTGGAGGATTGTATTGTAAGGGATGAAAGGAGAAGAGGCACAATGCTTTATTCTACAAGTTATTCTGAAATATATGAGAAATACACAAAAAATACCACAAAGAACAGTATGGGGGTCCAAAAATATGGTCTGATCTTTCTATAAAGCTGTATTCAATTAGTGAGATGTCCTAATGACTAAAATTATTTTCTTAGCACCGAAGTCTAAACATAGACGTAATATGGTGGGGACAATTCACCAAAAATAGAATAAAAGAATACAAGATTCAATGAGCTTCCTTGTTTTAAACATTCATGAGTAATGGTTTAATATTTGCTCTAAAAATATGTTTAACTGCCTCAATATAGTAAGAGCAATTTGCTAAAAATAGTAAAAAAGAAAAGAAATTTAATTATCTTCCTTCCTTCAGCAGTAAGAAATAAGCAGAGGTTAAGTTTTAAATTTGCTCTAGAATGTGTTCAAATTAAAGCATATGTTCACTATTTGTAAGGCAGTCACATTCTACACATCACAGGTCTGACCTAAGACAACATTTTGAAAATAAAATGTTATATACTAAGTACACCCTTAATCAGACTCAACTTTTTTAAATCATATAACACATTTTTTCATCTACACTTAATTAAAAAGCAGACAACTTGCCAAACAATTTATTCAAGAAGAGACCTAAAAGAGCTTATAGGTTTTCAAATATTTATTAATGTTTAGATAAAGTGAGCTTATCCCCTTGCTTGCTTTCAAAGAGTAACGAGTCCAGTAAAACATACTTCGGATAAACTCATTAAAAATCTACGTAAATTGACATTCACAAACCAATGCAACCAGCCAAACTGGATGTCAGGAGGACTTTCGTGTGGGTTTGGTGTTTTTAACTGTGTTACCAACATACAAGTATATGCCATAGGACTTCTATAAAAAAAACATGGAACATAAAAGGCATGTCGGCACTTGTAGAAACTAATTCCGTCTTTCTGGCTGAAGCCAGTCATTATGTAAGGCTGGTCCGAGAGATGATTGTCACCAGCCTACACAATTTTCAAACTCCTACTACTTCCTATGATTAACATCATTGTTTTCACTTCCTGCATCTTCACTTGTATAGAATATTGTTATAATTAAAATCATTTCCCCAAAGTCTAGAATTATTTTGTTTTGGCAGAAAGAAATAACAAAGAAATAAGAAATATAAGTCGTATTTGGCTTAAATGTTTCTTCATTCAACCAATTCTTTGTTGGTCCAAAGGTTTTTTTTTTTTTTTTTTTGATCGAGCCAGGCATTACCCACCCCCTTCACACGGCACACATACTTGCCTCATAAACTGACCTGACAAACCTGATTATCAACACGGGCTATGATAAAATATCTTATACAAACTACACTCAAAGTTGCTACGAAAGTCATCAAAGGTGGAACTTTATTGATACTACAGTAAATAAACACTTGACATTTTTTAAAATCTTTGCCAGAAAATCCACCCCCTGTACCATTTACTGTTAGCCCTGTGGTTAAGCCGCACAAATCAGAATAACTTCAAAGAAGTCCCTGCTTCCGTCACCTGACAAAGCGGCTTAAAGTGCGTCCATTACGCCATTGTTACCCTCAATTGCACAAATCATCATCAGGTGTATTATTGCTCACTATAGGTTTATTGTACAATGGACCCTCCTGGTTTAATGTGCTTTTGTTTGCATGATATCAAATATCAACAATAGTAAATTGCTTACAGAACACACCATGGTATAATTGCAAGCAAAAAGAAATTAACACCAATATATGACATCACAATATCCGATCCATTTTCTCCTTTACTCTGCTAAAGATTTACTTATCTTTATCAACTTAGTAATAAAGTTATTGAATTTAATTCTCTGTCATTATGGCTGGGTTAGTATTGAAAAATCAAAACAAGGTCCTCTAATGCAGAAGCGGCAACTTTGTAATGTGAGGAAGGGTCTTCTGAGCACATCAAGGGGTCAGACAAAAAAAAGGACTTTTATTCAATTTACTTTCAAGCTGGGAGATATTGTCCAAATGTTCTCTCACATATTTCTTCCTTTTCTTTCTTTTTTTCCCCCCTTTCACAAAGACTTAGTTCTCGGGTGATGCTGCAACTCACAGCATGTTCCCTGTGTCTGCTTCGGGAGATGCTCTACATGGAACGCTCCATCCTCTTTCCTGGCCCAGTAATTCTAAACCAAGTATAAAAGACATGAATATCAAAAATCACCAGGGAACATTCAGGACAAGTCCTGTCAAAATTATTACTGATCACTGCTGTAGATCTTTATATTAATGTCTGGCAACATGAAAATTGCCCCCCAGGGGACCTTCAAAAGTTGTCATTTTGTTAGACATGGAAAAGGACTTGGGGTAGCCGCTGGAGTTGAAAATAAAAAGAAATCACAAGGCCATAATCACTCATCCCGAAAAATAAAAAAACTACAAATCATCCACAGGTTGCCTTAGGTCAGTGCTTTTTTATCTAATTCTTGAATTGCAAAATATCATATTTTATCATTAAACATCAAGCCCCACTACAAAATCTACAAGATTTGCAAAATTTTGTCTGATCAATCTTCATGTCTGATCCCATCAGAATGGGAGAATAAAAAAATCTGTTATATTGCAGACTACTGAACAAAATAATGAAAAGTAAATAATCCGGTGTTAGCAGAGGTCAAAGCAAACCAAATAAGGGTCACAACCTGAGCTTTTTTCTTTTCTATTTTCTAAATTTATCTTACAAAAAACACTGGTCACATGCAGTGACCGGTGAAGTAATACATGTTTATATCTCTGCACAGAGACCACATCTAGCTTGGTGTAACTGCTCTCAGAGGGTAAAGAAACATGTTGACTAAATGCCTTCACCTTTGAGACAAAATGCCAATATTATCTGAAACTGTTCTAATTTATCATTTCAGACAATTCCGACACTGTTTCAAACTTAGCTGTGGTAATGAAAACACTTAATGTTAAGGCACTTTTACAAGAAGAAAAAAAAAACACTTAAGAGTTTTGTTAATTCTCGGTTTTGCCCTTTCTGTGATGACCTTGAAATTGTTCCTGTTATGCTGCAACAGGACCTATTCAACAATATTTTTTCTCCATCTTACATCTCCTACATATAACATAGTGCTCGTTTGTTTTCTCTTTTTCTGACAATTCAGGAGAATTTAACAATTGCAATTTTTTTATCAGGCCTGAATTTTTCTAAAAATTAGAAGTACTGTGGAATGATCCACAGACAAAAAAGTTCATTGCAGAAGGGCCCTTTTTCTCCCCCCCCCCTCCAATATCTAGCCCCTGTAGGGGTAGATTGAGGCAGTCTTTCAGATCTACTGGAGAATTGCTAAAATATTGTTGTATAATGAAAGATTTGTATTTTAACTGTTAAATGAATTTGGAAAATAGGTGGCCTGAATAAAAGACTATCAACCTAGCATGCAGGACACTGAAAACACTGACAGACCTTTTATAAAGATGATTAAGATAAATTCCTCAATATCAAGCAATAACAGGCACACTTCTTTGAGCAATTAAGTGATTTTTTAAATTTTACTTTAGACTACTATTAAGTAAACATTTCAGACCAAAAAAACACTATAAGTCTAAACACTATGTAGTAACCAGATTGCTCAGGCATGTAAGGGTTCTCCTATAACTTGGCACTTCAATACCATATAAGTGGTTTTTAAACTTGAACAGTCTAGGTCTGAACCTAAATATAGCATAGGCTGTGTAAAAAAATTGCAGAGGATGAAATGTGAAACAAACTGAGACTGACCTTTGTAAAAAGATGCAAGACTATTTTAAACCAGTTAATATTAAAAAAGTCTTTGTAGGGTACAGATTAGTTTGCCATTTAACCAGTTTGACAAAGACAGAAAGTTATCATAAATATTTGTTAATAAAGGAAACAATGCATTTGGTAAGTGGGCCTCTCAAAACACTTACCAAAGCAGAAATGGATTTGTCTTTACCAGTTGGCAAGTGCTTTATCTTCACCCTACTTGACCCTACTTGACAACATCTCCTTTAACAACCAACATACTATTTAGTCCTTCTGCTGTGTAGTGTTTAGAACTGTATAGAGAACTTATTATAGTGGTTATTTTATGATTATCATGTCAAATAACATGCTTTTGTCAATCTACAAACTAACATACAGAGAAAACCAGAGTAAGAATCACTGTTCAACTAATACAAAACTAAAACACAAAGTGACATATCAATACAGTAATAGAGTTAAAGAAAATACTTCAAGAAGGTCATTTAAAAAGACATCCATGAGAAAATTGATAACTTCTTTCCCACAACAGGCTTCATGTAAACAAAAAACTGCTCTATTGTCTTGACTGCCATCTGCTTAAACTGAAATCTGCCTAGTTTCATAGTGTTTAAACATTGTGATAAATATACAACCATAACATTATCCAGTAAAATACCCCCCCCCCCCAAAGTCAGAGATACCATTCAAAAGAACACCACATTTACAGCACCCCACATTACAAGCAATGCTCCCACCTCACCTACATAAATAATATTACCACGTCTAACATGTTAACATTAGTCATTAAAAACCTGATGGCAAGATGATTAAAGACCGATTTGGAGCGTAATTATTGGTGAATATTACCTGCTCCTGAGGCTGCGTCTGGGCGTAAGCTGTGGGGATGACATTAAAAGTGAACTTCTGCCGTTGTCGACATAAATAACAAAACGTCGCTCCGCCTGATACCGCTAGAGTCAATGCTGCAATTGTTCGTGTTTTATTTAGGGGTGCATTCTTCATAAAATTATTGCTATCGCCTTCAAATTGCCTTAAAAGTCGAAGAATTCGTCTTCTGCAGGCGGCCGCCATTTTGGTAACCTTTGCGCATGCTCAATGTAAAAGTGTATTTCCCATAAAATGCGCAATAGGTGTTTACAGGTGATTGTTTCAATCTCTGCGTGGGCCGAACAGGGGAAAATGTTCACTTGTACAGGCATTATTATGAATTAAAATAGAAAAAATTACAGCAATGGAATAAAATTCATTGAAGTGCCGCTCTTTTGTTATATGAAAAATTCTTGAAATATTTTAATCCTAACTACATGATTCAAATAAGTAAACAAAATTTTGATGATGTCACTTCTTTGATATCTAAGTAATACCGCTGAGGATTTGGCAAGTCTGAGCATATCTGAGTTATTTATATCTCACTTTAAGACAGTGCACGTTGAAATCACATTGCATTGAACAACAGCTTCTCACTGAAGGTAGACCACCCTTTAAGTTTTTTAAAGCCGGTTAGAGTGCCGCTAATGTTAAAGACCTATAATCATAAGGCGGTCAGTCTGGTGAACATAAAGACATAGTGTGGGCTTGTTTTCTCAGAGAGGAGAGGATAATTTAGTGCAGAACTCATTGATTGTGCTCGGCGAATCATTTTAGACAATTAGCAAGTTTATACAGTCACTATCAAATCATGGGGATTATTTATATATCGATCTTAGAGGGCGCGGACCAATTATAGTGCTAGTAATATCAAGAACGATTGCCGCCGAAGACGTGTACTATAGTGTTGTTGGAAGAGAGGCGGTGCGCCTTTCATTACGCGAATCAAAAATAATATTTTTACTTTATTCCTTACAGAAGGTCATTTTCGCAGCGACCTGGCCTCGCAGTCGCTCCCGTGATGAAAACCATATGAGCCGACTACCCAGTGCACCGTACTATTCGTCTACACGACTGCATAGAGTTAACACGGGCTGCTTACTCCCCTCCTGATGTACACAGAGGTAAATCTACTTAATGTGTGGCGCTAGCTGGACTAAAAGGGAGAGCGCATGACTTGGGGTGACGTCAGATACGGACAGGTATTAACAACCTAAAATAGAATCTGGGGATTTCGATTGTCAGTCACTAGTGAAACGCCGCCGAGAGAGATACGCTCGCTTTAACGTAGAAACTAAACGTCGCTATTCCGACCACAGGTAATTGATCTGTCATTTATTTCGACGAAATTCAACGGAGATATATTAGTTAAATGCTTGTGCAAAATACGCCGATATTGCGGGGCGGCCCCTTTGTGGCTATTATCTGTTATCTCCCTACACTATTATTAAAGTACAATGTGATCATGTGGAAACATACGCTGCAGTAACATAATTTGGTTGAGGAGGATGGTTTATTACTCCCGAGCCCTACAAGTTGCCTGATTGGCACCTTTTACCTTCAGTTTTGTACTCTGGGAGACTGCGGCAAGGAGGGACTTCCAGAGGATTATACTACTACAAAGACATAATTGCGGTTTAACGTGGCCTTAATAGCTGCTGTGCCGCTCTCACCCACCACACTGGAATCGGAAGGGGGTGTTCCGAGTCGGACAGCGCGTGGAGACACAACTGTCAAATGTGCTCTAGGCTTTAACCATGCAATCACGGCCGGTTTAGCACAATAGTTGAACAGTCACAGCCAGCAGACGGGCCTTTTTCAAGTAACTTCCAGCCTAAGACGATAGAATGGATATTGGTTGTTTTAGATTTGAATGCTATCAGCACAGTGTACGTATATTTCTCTTAACTACGGTCAACTGTACGGGCTAGTTGTCTGGGGTCCCATGTAAAATTTGAACCTGAGCCAAGTAGAGATTTATCGAAGTCTCAACACAATCCTATAGGACTTGTGGACTTTTCAGCCTTCACCATTCCGTCTACAGGGTCACGTCATGAACGGGGCGCTGCTACCGGCTGCCGCTAACAGCATCGTCACCAGTACCGTTCTCCCTACCTTTACATCCGTGGCGGCGGCAGCGGCGGTGAGTAAAGAAACGCTGAACCCCCGCTTGAACGCCGAAATGGCAGCGGGTTTGAAGTGGGATTTAAATGATGAACCGAACGCAAGATATTATACTAGGACATCGGATTATAAGAAGCGAAGACGAGAGCATCGGAAAAAATTACTCAGACAGTCTCGGCGAGAAGAGAGGAGTTTATTTCAAGGACATGTGAAAAGAAAAGTAAAGTTTTTTAGCAAAACAGAAAGGATTTTACAAATCTGGCCTGACGGTACCGTGAACGGTACGAACACAGCAGAGAACTCGCCATACGGTAGGTGGATTTTATTCTATAGCTCATTCAGTTTTTATCTTATACTGTTTTTATTGTCAACACTGCTTGAATAGGTCGAAGTCACACCCCCATCGCAGATAGTACTGTTCTCTCTAGGTCGACTTCGAACCCTCGATAAAGACACTGTAGACATTAAACGTAACTTTAAGTCACCTTAAAACACCCGCGAGATTACAAACACGTCAATACATGGGGCATGGACGTTTCAGATTCTATCACTATCAAAGATACATCAGCAAGTTATATAGGGGAGGTTATGGGAATATAACCTCCTTTGGGTTATTTCCCCCCTCCCATTAGTCTAAGGGTAGATTTCGATCATCACGGTTTCCGTCTGTGAGGATGTGTTGCATGAAACATGGCCCGTGTTACAAGGTGCTGATGGCTCGTTCTGCTGTCAGCACTTTCAGTTTTAATTTTCGATCTATTTATTTCTCACCTGCCAGACCGCCGCACACGGGGCCAGCGTGTCATCTTCAGTATGCTAGCCCGCTGTGTAGTATGCTCAATAGCCTTGTCAGAGCTAAATGACTCTGACGGCTACATGGGCTATCATGTCTACCAACGTTATAACGTAGGGGATGTCTTCCCCAATTTTTTTGTGAAGAAGAATTGTAGATCGCATAGAAATGATAATTCCTGTCACAAATGGTGGGAAAACTTGTTTAGTGTAACGTGAAGAAGGCGAGACAGATTGACGTAAACGCTCTCCGCAATTTTTCTATTTTTGTTTGAAAAAATGGGGTTATATCTGTAATTCATCGAAGGTGGCACGTTCCAGTATTTTGACCGAGCATTCGTGGTACACCACGAGCATCTTGACTACATTACGAAAACGTGTTTAGTACTGGGCCGTTCTGTTCTGAATGAGTATGTAAAAGCAGCATGGTTGTAGCATTTTTAACGCGAGGGATGCGGGAGAGCTGTTAGAGTCGGTGTTTCAGCCGATATAAGTTACGACAAAACAGTTCTGAATGTGTCCAATCGATCCTATCGACAACGTGGGTTCATCGTTAAAACAACAGGTTGACAAATAGTAACTTAATTTGCCATATCATTACGACAACTTTTCGATAATCTGCAAAGAAGGCAAGTTTTATCTTTTGTATAATAACAAGACTATGGGATCATTACAGCCAATTGTAGATCAATGCTCCCATTCAGAAGTTGCTTATGCAGCGACATAATGAAGTATATGAATTTTTAAAATGAAGACTAGATTTAAAGATTTTCTTCCGTGTGAGCGACTGTCTGAAGAGGTAAATTTCCTTAATGAGTTGTAAGGATTGGATCTGTAGCCAAAGTATGCTTTTATCGCGATGCTGCATCCACTGTGCACGCGGGTTTATTGTATCAGTGAACTCGCGTGGTAAAACCACCTTGCACATCATCATTCACTGGTGCAGTATGCAATACAGATAAGTCTGATATCAGTGAAAACTCGGTGTAATCGACTGTTGCATGTGAAACTGACATTATTGTTGATTTCACGCCACGTTAGCACTGTTCCTGAAGCGTGCGTCTAGGCAATGAGCTAAGGAGCTGCAAGAAAAGATAACCGTCGGTAACGGCAAAACGTGAGATCGACGGGCTGTGAACGTCTTCCCTCAGCTACTTGACAACCACACGAAATCCACAGTGACAAAAATAGTGACAATATAAGCAGTGAACGTCTACAGCATGTAATTTTGTGCTATGGCATGCAGTGAGTCTTAACTGCAACTTAGGACAAAAGGCAATGGCTGCATGTACATGTCGGAAACATTTGGTCCAAATCGCCTGTCGCGAATAAATCCTAATTAATAAAAATGATTAGTCATTTATAACTTTGTTGAACGGGTAGTTTAACCGAACAGCGTAAAATCTTTAATTGAGATTTATCATCACGAGCAGGTCGCAGCCTGAACTGGCGGTATTTGTGTACATACTTGGGTCATGGGGACGCCTATATTTGACACAAGGTAACGGTAACGCGATAACACAGCGGTGCTTATACGTGAAATATATATATATACGCACTCTAGAACAGGGAAGTCCCCGGCCACGAAATCCCCGAGAGCGCTGACTTAACACTCCTGGCGGTTCAGGGGTGCTTTTCAAGGGGTGTCTTAGTCCTCTTTTATGTGTTGAGCTTGGAGGAATTGGTGTAGAATTCGCTGCCAGTTCTTTAGATCTCGATACAATTATCGAGACATTTACCCAAGGACTGACAAATAACCCAGTGTTGATTTTACAGGCATTTACCTGTAATTTGCAAAGAGCGAAAGGTCCCGTGTCAACTCGCTCTTATTTATATGTTTAAACAATATTTAAGTACTGCTTTATTTAAGTGGTCACTCGGGGGATCTGGTATAGACCTAATCATTATTGTTATCACTGGAGAAACAAATATAATAACAAGGATCAAACGCCCCGATCAGTGACAAATTAACACACAGCTCCAATGTCCCTTGTAATATCTACCCCCTTTTACATGTCTCGTGCGCTTGGTGAAGTTTTGCAGTCAGTTCAATGCTAAAAAGCCGCCGAGTAAATTTAAACACGGTCAGTAGAACATATAACTACCCAACTCTGTCGCAGAACGTTTAAGAGGTTCCAAAGTGGACATAAAAATTGAGCCCCTAAAAATATTGATCTGCAGATGGGGCTATTGCGACCGCCCTTCCTTTCATAGTTTGCACTTGGGCTCTCGCATTGACATTACAATAACACACAACTATTAGTAGTAATTATTGTGTGTGTTTCTTTTACTTTGATAGCCATTTCATAGCCTCATGAATCAATCAATCCGTCTATCAGTGAGAACCACAGAAATAACACGACACGGAAGAGGGGGAGAGTTTGAAATGCAATAGCTATATAAAGAAAGAGGGGAAGGGCTTGGGTGCGAGTTCGTTAAGTCGAACGGTTTAAATAAACTTGTCTAATTTAGGTGGCAATATTAAAGGGGGCCGACAAAGTGGGGTGCAAAAGTGAAAAAAAATCACGAGTTTGTATTATCAACAGCAACATAATTACTAATAATATGTATTGTATGCTAGAATTAGTATCAATGAAGTAAGAGCATGTGTCATCGATCTATTGTAGTTGGCCATAGGAACACGAGATCTCGAGACGTTGCTGAATGATACTGCACAATAACGATATATATCTCCTTATCATACTTGTTAGAAATATCTCTCTATTACCGATAGCAGCAATTTGATTACTAAACGTCATAGGACGCAATGGGTTGGTTAGATCTTGTAAACGTTAGTCATATTTGAATACGTGCTGCAGTTTTTTTCATTGACATGATGACATTATTAACTTATTTGTTTGTTATTACTACTTTTTGTTGTAATTACTGTCGAATTGGAGAGGGAATGATCCACGTGAAGAGTGAAATTGATACATTTTAAGGAAGTACTATTTAAGTCGTAGGTTTATATTAAAATGCCCTGGGGGCACCGCAGACTTCACGCCCAGGCTTAAAAGATGAGGCAATGTGAAGTGTCCAACAGATAAAAGGAAAAAACTTAAGGCTGTTGGGAGGAACGCTTTGATGGATGTGTCTGTTAAAACTGTTATCACCCAGGTGACACTACTGCGGGGAAGTGATGGAGAAAGACCTTGGGAGACACTTTGATAATGTTTTGCATTTGTATTCCATTGCAACTATATCTTCCATTAATTTTCTCTAAGGATGAGTGAAAGTGCCCCCCCCCCCTCAACACTTGTTGAAATAGACACGAAGCTAAGAAATGTTCTATGAGTTATGTAGAATTATGTTGCATCAGTCCAAAAGCACGGGTACAGCATTCGTTTTTCATTTTGAAAACTTAATAAAAAATATCAGGCGCAAACATTTAGGGAACGTCAAATGAAGTTAATTTTGAATCAAACTGAATGAAAAAGTGGGTACAGGAGGATAGGGACTAAAAAGTGATTTAATGGGCCAAAATACAGATAGCAAAAATATGTGACAGAATTTTTGTTTGTTTATTATAAACATTGTCTTTTCTTTTATGCACAAGCAGAACAAGAAAAGTTACTTTTTATACAGTACGTGGGTACACTGGGGGAGGCTGTAGGTGGAATAGAGAAAAAAAGAAAAAAAGAAGGAAAATGTGAGTGCCGGTGAACAAGTGCGTGACGGCAGGTTATCACCGCATGTTACCGACACGGGCCAGTTCTCCCGTCACGCAACCCCCCATCTGTCACATGACCGGGGTCTGTCGTCCTGCCTGGGGCTTCGTCTTGGACCAGGCACATCTTCCTGTCTTCAAACATAACCAAAATACCAGAAAAAATAGGTGGGCCCGTGTAAATTGCGGCATAATTGCAATCACGGTATGCGCAAAGAATGGGTCGAACTGTACCGTGTCATTACCTGAGATAACATCAAATAACGCTTCCTTTATCTCTCGAAGGCTAATTGTAATTACAAACAATTGTCACCTTTCACAACATTAACTTTGTTTGGAAGCCGTAAAACGCTCCTCTTTGCTGTTTAAATAATGCAAAGTACTTGGTTTGGCTCTGATAAAAATCAAACTTAATTTACACCCGGACGCAATCAATAACTAGAATGAGATTCCGTTGTAATATCTTTATATTGCTGGATTTTTTTATTGTAAGATTATACATATAACCTGGAATATACGAAAATTAATATTTAAACATATTTCAGTGCACTTATTACAGCAGTAGATATATTTTATTAACAACATACTTGTAATGTAGTGTGAAATGAAACGACTGGATGACTAACATAACATACCATTATAAGGTGAAAAATAATTTTAAAATCACGAATTTAATTTTTCGTCACCAAGAACATTTTCAAAAGGAAACGAATACCTGTGGTTTATTTGTGACTTTCAATAGGACAATGTAGATGTAGCCCAGGGATGACAGGCTCCCACCCTGTAATAAGGCTCATTGTCAGCCTCGGAAACTCCCTCTAATTAATTTCGAAACCAATTTTCAATAAAAGA